ATCCCAGAGCAGTAGAAACATTTTTGTTACTTTGAAATGATAGTGTAACTTGCTGTGGGTACTTAATTCTTGCATATGCCCTATGTTAAATATTCAATCTTTTTTTTCAAACTTCAGAACCATTAAGACCAAGGTGCTAAGTTCAGGATATTTAAGTATCTTTCTTCATCCCTCCTCCATCTGCCTTTCTATTTCTGAATATTTGCAATTTGATGAAACAGTAAACATTTGAAAACTTTTGAGTATCATCTGGAGACTGGAACAGAATTATATTACAATTTACAGCTTGCTTTGTAGTATTAAATTGTTCTGACCCAGGCTTCCTTAGAAAACAAAAAGCAGTGTCTTGGTCCCTGCAAAACCTCTTTTATTTACACTATGAATTCCTTTCATTCACAGTCACAGTCTTTCAGGGGAATGTTTATCCACACCTTATCTCGTTTGGAGCGCTGCCAGATAACTAGTTTCCAAACGCAGGACAAGGCAAACTTGGCACAATGTCTCTTAAAGTCACACACAGAACTTGCCAATCTTGAACCAATCAGATGAATGAATTGTTTCCTGCAAAAGCCAACTCCCCATTCGTTCCTCTTTTGTTTCCTATGGGAGGGGCGAATCATCTCCAAGGTGTGGCTTTACTCTTAAGTCGACTCTGCTTTCTTGTCTTCTGGCAGTTCTGCGCATATGCACACTGGGAACAGTCTCCAGCTGTTCTTCTGCCTCACTGCTCTCTAACTCCCTCTCTGCCTCCGACACAGAGCCCTCTGAGCTTTCCTCAACCCTCAGGACTGGCCCATGTTCTTCCCCAACCTCCTCAGTATATGACTCTGCTGCCAGCTCTGCTGGCGGGCCACAACATAAATCAAGATGGCATCTGACTGTGATACATAGTTGCCAACAGTTTGGGTCCATCTTTGTGTCCACATAAAGGATATAAATAGGATTAGCATTATTTTTCTTGCTTATTTTATCACAAATCAATTTGATTTTTGAGAAATACAACTGCATAAAATAAGAACATTGACATAAAAGCTATATGTGTGTGTGTGCCTGGGGAAGCTCACCTGTTTTATAGCTGTATATATAGAGATCTCTATGTCCTAAGAGAATCTGTATTATTTTAAGTATTATTTAAAAGGTTTCTCTGTGGCTGTGGCTAATTCCAGGATGCCTTATCACTTTCATTCAGTAGTATAAGCAGAAGTGCTCCCCACAGCTGATTTAGAGAAGCGAAAGAGTGTAAATTTTCTTTTTCTCATAATTCCCATGTATTAGATTATCTTATTTTTGCATGTTCTTTCAGGTCCTCTGGTCTTTGGGGGATTTTTTGCATCAGTGACAGTTTGTGATTGTGTTTTATCTGCTTTCAGCCTTTTTTTTTCTATATTCCAACTATATGCTGACCAATAATCAGTATATTTTCTTCCCGTTTGTTCAGTAACAAAGAAGTGCCCATAAACAGTTCTGTTCTTCTGGGTGTATACTCTAAGTGAAATGAAATTGGACTGAGCTGTCTGAAAAGGATTGTGAACTGTACAGCATAAATTATGTAGGCCCGTCTCAAGGCAAAAAAAAAATAGAAAGTGTTAATAGCAAAGAAGCTGATAGGTATGCATTTTTCTGGGAAAGCGAAAATACCAGCCTTCTGTCCTGAAGCTTTGCATTAAGATCATATTAAAAATTGAAAAATCTGCAGCTTATAACATAACTAATTCCATGTTTAAAAGTACGCATGCATTTAGAATATCCTCTATTCATCTAATTAAAGGTATTTTTATTAGGAATATTCTGTGATAAGAAAATATTTAGCATGTCTCTTCTAGCATTCTATTGGGAAACGTTTTTTCCTTGTTTCGTGCCTATGTATAGGTGATTATTTATTTAGATCAGGGATTTGTTGCTAGTGGTTCGGTGAAAAAAACTAGATGTCCGGAATGTGTAAAAATGTATTGTGTAATGGTATGCTTTGTGAATATTACTTACTGTATTGTGACCAGTTTGCATCAAAGGTTTATCATGTTGGAGTCCCAAGTATTTCAGGATCAAAAAATTAGAATACAAAAGCTATATTTTGTAAACTCTTGAGATATTTGCTATGAGCTCTTGTAAGAAAAACTGAAATTTTATTTTTGCACTTTGTTACTACCTTATACTGTATTTTCTGACCTAAAAGGGAAATGGCAATATCTCAAACAGGGGCCACTTCCTGCATGTTTTTCACTCCCTTCAACATATGATCTTAAGTCCATATGCCAAGCTATGCAACTTTTTAAATGGATTTTTTTAAATTGAAAAGAACGGTTGTCTTCTGGACCATTGATATTTTGTGACTGCCTTGCCCACTGTGTCAGCCATTGCTCACAAAATTCAACAAATGCTCACTATTCTGAAAATTACTGTGTTGAACTTTTCCTTTCTTGAAAAATGACAGCATAGGCTACAGCTATGCAAGTAAATCCATAGGAGCATTGTATTTCTTAAAAAAAATACTACGATTAGAACTGCAACCATAAAATATGAATATAGTATTTGCTTTTTAATACTTTATTTAAGTAATACTTTTTCTTATGTATGTTTTCAGCATACCTTTTCTAGCCAGTTGCTAGCACCACCTTGTGATAGAATTTGATATTGGCATATTTGTACCAATTTTTTTATTTTTATTTTTCCTACTTGATACTTTCATCATAAATTTGTATTTTGCTTTGAAAATACAATATCATATATATGTCTTGCACTATCATATTTTCTGAATAAACCTGTTTTTGTATGTGATGTTGAAGCTGACTTTGAATCTGATGTGGCATATTTTAGTGACCTATAAACCAAATTTGTTATAGTCCAATAGCTCTCTTGTCTTTTAACTTTTTCCTCCAGGAAAATGTGTTTGCTGAACTAGTGGTCCAATTATAGCAGAAGAGAAGAAATGATTTTGCCCATATGTTTTTCAAAACCTAGCTTACATTCTCCAATTTATTCTTTGACCAAAATAATTGTTCATCATATTAATATAAAATGTATAGGCTGCCCATCTTATCTTAAGTTACCAGACTGAGAATAGCTTCCTAGAAGACTTAGTAATAGGAAGAATTAATACTGTGCTGGGAAAAAAATGCAATTTAACAGAATAACAGCATTGGAAGGGACCTTGGAGATCTTCTAATCCAACCTCTTGCAGGAAACTCTATACCAGTGATGGCAACCTTTTCAACGTGTGTGCATATGCGTGCATGTGTTCATGCTGGAGCACCAAAAACCCAAAGGCCAGCAGCCTGGGATGCACATGCCTGTTTTGGGGGGCTGT